TCCCCGTCACCCGCCCTTGGACGCCCCCCGTCCGCGCCTCAGTCCAGAGCCGGCCTCCTCTCCGGAAGGAAACGATCCCTGTCGGGCCGCCTCCGGCTTGCAGCGCCGACGCCCCCTCTTCCCTCCTCCCCCAGCTCTTGCTCTTCGTCCCATTTCCCGTCCCGTCCCGCCCCTCCGCTGGCCTCCCGACACTCGTGTCTGGGGGCTCTACTGGCCTCCTCCCGGCGCCTAGGCTCCGCTGACCTCATCGGCGGAGCTCGGGTCCGGGAGCCCCCACTAAGTTCGTTGCTGTCCCTGCGGGCTCTCCTCCCCCGGCCCACAGCCGGGTACGTCCTGGCGTGACCCTTCCCACTCTGCCCCGCCCCAGGTCTGCCAGGGCGCCACTCTTCGCGTTTTCCGTCCTTTCCACGTTGTTCTTACCGCTGCCCCTCCGCGCCTTCTCTCTCTACTCGGTCATTTGTCAGGAAACCCAACGTCCCATCCCAGCACCTCTCCTCCCAGCCTAACTTCCCTCCTACCTGCATCCTCCACCAGCTCTCCTCAGTCCATCACAGAAGTACCATTGTCGTTTGGAGTCTCTCCTAAGAAAATCTCTGAGGGATTGGAAATACTTACCCTGAAATGCTGAGGGAGATGGTGACTGGGGGTTCAATCCCCAAAGAACGTAAAAATCCCATGTCCACCTGTTGAGTTGGAAAACGTGAGGCTGCCTAATGGTCTCCCCCTCGGCTCTCCTGATGATAGCTGTTCTAGAAATGAGAACCATGGTCTATTTTCAGTCTTGGTAGAAGATTGGCTCAGTGAGACTGTCAAATAGTGGAGAAATGGGCACACATTCACAGGGCCAATACCCTGAAGATCCAAAGGGAAGAAAGTCTTACCCCCACAAAATAAGTGAACTTAATCAAAAAATAAAATGGAAGATACGATTTTTATTCTTGCCTATGAACCGTTTTATTTTCTAAGGCAAAGACAGGAAAATTTTACCTCTCCAATGAGGGAGGAAAGTTCTCCAGCAACAGAATCTCAAAAAAAGTTAAACTGTATTGGCTAAAATCATTGTGACTTAGTTACGTTAGGAAGAAATTACCTGAAGGTATATGACATTTTGAAGAAGGGAGCAGTAACAAATTTCTCTCTAAAGGTTGTGCATAAAGCTGTAGTCTGGGGTGCTTTTGGCATCCCAAGCCCTTCCTTCTCTTCAAATTTCAGTCTTCTGTTTTAGACATCAAACGCAAAGGGATGGTATTGAATGGCATTAGACATAATGGCTCGATCCAGCGAGGTGCTGGCAGCGTCCCTGGAACACTAGGCCTGCCTGGAGTCCTTGGAGGAATGGTTCTTTCCACACCGGTCACTGGCTGTGCATGAGCACGTCTGACTGAATGTTTCATCTGCTGGACAATGAAGCTCCTTTTCCACGTCTAGGTTTTGCCCAGAGACACTTGGGAATACAGATTATTGGACTCTCTCAAAGTTGAAGTTTAGTTAGAATACAAAGCTAGTCAAACAGACCCCTTCTGATTTGAAAATATATCTTCCCAAAGCCATTTTAAAATTTCTACAATAGTACTATTCAATAGAACTTTCACTATCATGGAAATTTTTTTAATTTGTTCTGATAAGACAGTAGCCACATAAAATTATGGAGCATTGAAAGGTGACTAGTGTGATTGACAAAATGAGTTTTCATTTTATTTAATTTTAATTACTTTTTATTTAAATATCCCCATGTGGCTAGGGGTTACCATGTAGGACAGCACATTTCCAGAGGATTTCCTATTGCATATGGTCAACAGTGAAGGACAAATAAGTCCACCCACACACCAGTACCCTCTCCCCTGCAGTATTCAACTGGAGTTTATGGTAATGGATGCCATTCATGTAGTTGATCTACAAAATCATTAATTCTCATTGGGCATAACTAACCCATTCATCAACTGTTCGGAATATTTGGGGAGAAAGTTAATTTCATTCACTTATTCAACAAGTGTATATTAGAGATTAAACATTAGACAAGGTGAAAGGCTCTGGACATGGAGATGTCAACAAACTATTCAGTACTTCCCATCATGAAACTTATAGTGCATTGAAGAAGACAGACATTAAACATCACACTATGAAATGAATTACAATGGTGATAAATGATATGAACAGAAATACAGAGTACTCTGAGAATATTTATAAGAGCATCTAATTTAGTCTGGGAATCAGGGAAGGCACTAGAAAATATTCAAATAAAATGAAAGTCATTGAAGTGATGTTACATATGAGGCAAGTGACCTTGGGCAAGTTATGAAAATTCTCTAAGTTTTGAATTTCTCATTTGTAAATTCATTTCTGTGAGGCTTTATTAATATACTATATGAAGTGCTTAACACAATGTTTAGTTCATTGTAGACGCTTGGCAAATGTTCTCCTCATTTCTAATCCCTTCCCTCATGCTAAAACCTCTCTCTCATGGTATCTATCATCTCATTTTTATTACATTTCATATTTTCATTTATTTAACAGATACTTACCTAGTATCTACTGTAAGGCAGACACTATTACTGAGAAACAGAAGTAAACAAAACAAAGTCCTGACTTCATGGGTACACACACACACACGCATGTGTGTATATGAAGTATTTTTACATATAAAGAAATAAATACATGTAATATGTTGTTGTAAGTGTTTATTTAAAAAATAGAGAAGGATAGTGACTGTATTATGTGTTGGGTGAGGCCACTTAAAACTGATAGGTCAGGAAAGTTCTGTCTGATAATTTTAGCAGAGAACAGGAAAAAGTGAGGAAACTAATCCTGAAGATATCTGAAATAATATTTTTCAAGGAGAAGGAGTAGCTAGCACAAGTCTTTGACACAGACATGTTATATTGAGAAGCAGCAGAGGCCAAAGTAGATTGGAAAAAGGAGGGAGTGGATGACTTGTTGATAATTTAGGTGAGTGCTGAATAGAATTATAATGTGAGCCACAAATGCAAGACATATAATTTAGTTTTTTTCTAGAAGCCTCATTTAAAAACAGATGAAATTGATTTTAATACTTTTTATTCAACTTAATATATCCAAAATATCAGGAGATATTTTACATTCTTTTTATTGATACTAATTTTTCAAAACCATTTTGTGCTCTCCACTTACAGCACATCTGAATTCAAACTAGCCACATTTCCAATGTTCAATAGACACAAGTGGTTAGGGACTACCATATTGGACAGTGCATATGTAGATCCTTGCAGACATTCATAAAGACTTTGGCTTTTATTCCAAGTGACAATGAAGCTGTTGTGTAGAGTAGTGATCTGGTTTTTATTTATTGTTTACAAGGATCATTCTAGCTCCTATGGGGAGAAAATAAACTAGAGTGGGACAAGGGTAGAATTAGATAAAACATTGAAATCTTTATTAAAGTGACTCCATCACTTTAGAATAGAAGGGAAAAAACAAGCCTCTTTTTTGTTCTTCCTGCACAGCATCTACCCCTTTCCTTATTTGTAATAAATAGAAGCTTTGGGAAAAGATTTTTATATGAATTTAATTTTATATGTATTGAGATTCCTGTCGTTATCTGTGGGAATTTCCCAAAGTCAGTAAAGTAATTTTCTCGTACTCCCTTTTGTTCTGAAGATACATGATTTTACAGGAGGTAATTTTCTGGGAAATCTCTATCAAGAACTCACTTTTTTATTTTCACAACATTAAGTGATAAGTTATAGGAATAATTTAAGAAAAAAAATTTCAATTGGATATAAGGGTTGTTGAGGAGGAAATTTTCATGGAACTAACAATGAAGAAAAATAAACATAGTTGCATACCAAAATATAACAAAATCTATATACTATGTTAGAAGAAAGAATACACAAATACA